ATAAAATAATTGCCTGACATAAAAGGCACTACTTTTCGTCTCGTTTAAAATGAGAAGAAAAGCTTTGTATCATCATCAAACACGTGGCTTTAGACTCCTGCGGGACAAACTTTTCTGTTGCCCCGAGGCCGAATATAAAAACTTTTGTTCCGTCGCGTAAGTCCGACCCCGTGAGTAAATAATGTTGTCCCGAACCCGTCTGTCCCGTGAAAAAAATTTACGGGCTTTTTGGACTCATCCTGTTTGTCCTCTAATTCTTTGAAAATTCTTTATGTTGTGGTATACCATAAGTGTTACAAGAGTTTTATAGTCTAAAACTTATTTTTGCAAAAAATCTACATGTTCCCAAGTTTAAATCCACATCGTTTTACCTCTCCAGGTTAATTTTTATTACTTATTATAAAATTACGGTTTTGACTTGATAGTTTCATGTTAATTGCAGCCAATTTTAGAATTTTATGCTACAAAACTTGATATTTCGACCATTCGTGGTCATTGTCAGAAGTGAAAGTGTACACACAAAAAATTTTGGTTGTTACATTTTATAATTCTCACACGTTCAAGAACAGGTAAACTTCCTCTGCGATGAAAAACTTAAATGATGAAGAGCTTGATGAGTTACTCGCCACCCAAACATTGATAAAAGATGATCCAAAACAAACGGTACTGGCAAATTCGGCCATTACATTAGAAAATTAGGTACTTTTGCCGCACAGCACCAAATTAGGTAAAAATTGGGCGCTATGTGCAAAATTTTCGGTGAATCCGACAGCAGGTTCCTTATAATTATACTTTGGCTTCTTTTCTGGCGTCGACATAATCTACGTGGTTTTTGCCTAAATTTTATTTCACAGATCGTTCAGTACCGTTATACGTCTTGTATGTACATTTTCACTTTTGACAATGACCGTGAATGATCGAAATATCAAGTTTTGTAGAATAAAATTCAATTAGCACGAAATTATTTCAAAAATCGTCGCCTACTGGTATAAAAATTTGTATTGACTTGATAGTATTACAAGAATTAAACATTTGAAATTGCGGTATAAGCCCTTACAATCAAAAGACAAAACTTAAGGAACAACATTTTTCTGCAACTTGTCCTGACCCCGTAAGCCCGAGCCCGTGAAATTTTTTGCTTGTCCCAAGCCCATGAGGACAAGCCCAAGGAACGGGACAGACCGGATGAGGTTCGGGACTGCCCCGCAGGAGTCTACGTGGCTGTCATATAAGTCTATGTGTTCCATAGAAGAATCAGATATAAATATCGTTCGATGTTTTTCATTTCGTATATACATGTATCGGACTTTATTTTGTCCTATGCAAATTTCTAACGAAGAAAAACATCCTTTATAGAAATGCACGTCTATACTTGTCTAACATTTTATATAGCACATATAGACTTATATGGCAGCCACCTTTTCTGTGTACGGGACTCTCGCGAGACTTCTTGTGGACTCGGGCGGACTCCTTGTGGAGTGAGTAGACGGGAGTCCCGACAAAAAATAAAATTTTTTGTGTATGGGACCCCAGCGGGACTTTTTTGGAGTCCCTTAGGACTCCCTATGGGTTTTTTGAGGAAAAAAACTCTCGGAGGAGTCCCGCAGGAGTTTTACACAAAACGCGACTCCCGCGGGACTTCTGCCAGAACTCTCGACTAAGGCAGCACCATATGTTACATGAAACTTAAATTTGCCAATCGGCTGTGGTACCTCATCAAGAGAGGAAACAGATTTCACATCAAAAACAAAACTACTTTGTAGCTGAAGCAGTTCTAATGCTGCTGAAGCGCATTCTGTCTTTCTTCTTGCAGACCTTACAATTCCAAAAATTTTTGTGTGAATTTCACGCTTAAGTTCCTCACAGTCAACGTAACCATTTAATTCTAAAAACACATAAAAGCACACAGCTTCAAAAATTCGAGTTACATCTAAACGTTCACTACTATTATATACACAATGTTTGAAAAAAGGAGACAGATATTCAAAGAGAGTCAGACTACTGTATATTCGAACTTTTCTAAAGCAGAATTAAAGCAAAAAAATAACCAATTTACGTAGTAAGTACACGGCAGTTGCAGTGAGTGAAAGAATAGAAACATAGTAAAATAAAAAAACCTTATGTTACACAGTAGGAGTTTTTCTTCAGACTTGTTGAGTATATCAGAAAATATACTATATCTAAGGACTTCTGTGTTTTTTCTCAATCGATGTTTACTGTGCAAAGGTCTCGAAAAAAGAATGCATAGAAGTGAGAAATGCATCAAAGGTTGATTTTTTACAACATTTGTGATTATCCTCGGTGTAAGATCCCTTTGCTGTTAGTGACTCTCAGGATGTAGCAAAGCTCAGTTCGGTTCTGTTTGATGCACAGAGGATTGGGGCTTAGCCATTCCGCCTTCTTCACAGAATATTAGATTGGCTCTAATGACGAACTGATCCTAGCGATAATATCTTCGGGTATACATTCTCTGAAAGTCCAAGAGTGAATGTTCCGTTCACATACGACAAGCGTTATCTTATCGGTAATATTTATACGTGAACCATAAAAGCGAGAGCGGTTGATGTTTTATGGAACCATAGGAGAACTTAGAGAAGTCTGAGACTGAAGGTATTTCAGAAATAACAAACAGAATTTTTCTAAATGGTCAAAAAGCTGTTAACATAGTTTCTTCAAGTAAAGAACGTGCTTACAAATAAAATTGCTGTGTACTTATTTTAAGCTCCACCTCGAAGCAAGCCTGAGATGAATGATTCACCTGGATTGCATCATGTTCCCGAAGAGAAAGCCGGATAAAACATGGTGAAATCAGCATGTCATTTACCTTAACAAACACTTTATTTTCAGAGGTCGTCTCTTATCAAAAGTTTTTCTATTTCACTCTTTTTTTACATAAGGGTTCACCGACGGTAGGATAAATTTTTGCTGGATTGTGTGTGTGTGTGAACCGTTTGGGTTTAGTAACGAAAATAGAATATCTTTAGGGTTTTGTGACATTGATAAAAAAACCTTTATTTCTTAAAATACTTTTCCAAAAAGTATTTTAAAAAACCCAAACAGTTTAGTAACGATACAAAACCCTCAAATGGTTGCCCAAATGTACTACTATACCCTTTTGGGTTTAGAAACAACAATAAAAAATCCTTCAGGTTTTTTAAACTGCCTGTTTTTTTTACAGAGTACTATGGTTAACTTTTTCTCGTTTTCCTTTATTGAGTGACAAACATAAAAAGTGAAATTTTATGCGAAGTTTCATGGTGATAGTTATTAAGAAAAATCTAAAAATAGCAGTAGACGAGAAACACTTTGAAAAAACTTGATTGTCTTTAATACTATTCACTATTCACCACTGTTCTCCAAGGATAAAATTAGTTAGATTACTATTTGTCCATCAGCTAACTACCTAATGCGGAGTATTATGATTATCAGTTCGACTAGAAATCAAATTTTCAGTCATTTCGCGAATTGACATTGAAAGGTTTTTCAATTTTCCTGCGTAAAAAATTTTGAAAAATTCTTTCAAAAAGGGCTTTTTCATTATATCGGTTCAGAATTATTTGAGGTTTTCTTGATAATAAAGATGGAAAGAAGAGTCAAAAACTTCTTCAAAGAACAACGGAAACCACTTGATGCTGTTTGTGTCCTTTGTACGTCAAATAATCTCATTTCTAAAAAAAAGCATTTTGTTCACCGTTGTGGCTGGATTTTCTAGAAATTTGCGACAAAATCACACGAAGATTTGTCGACTAAGATGCCTTATTAGACTCGATAGCAGCATAAAAAAAGAAGTAAACTCTATGAAAAAGTAAAAACTAAACTCTCTGAAGGAGTAAATCTGCCGATTACAACAAAGTATCGACAACTATTCCCACAATATCTAACTAGAAAATGTACGTGAAAATTGTCAAATTTTTCGCTTTTTGTATTTCCCGTACAACTCCGTCTTTTTTCATTCCAGAAAAGCCATCTACCAGTGGGTTTGTAATAAATAAAATGGAGAAATCATTGAAAAAAACCGCAGGTCGAATTGGTTTGAGGTGGCTAAGTTATTTACCGAAGGTATCATTTATTCTGGGTCAATGTTCAGATCTACAGGTATCTCCCTGTTTTCTTTCACCGTGACGAATATCAGGAGGAGGCTCACTCTCATCTCTCTGCCCCCCTCCTTCGTTTTCCCTTTTCCCCATTTCCAGAAGAATGCATATTTTCAACTTATACTAGAAAAAACCAAGCTTTTGTGCTTTTCTACCTTATCAAAAAAATGCACATTTTGAATATATGCTAGAAAAGTAAACTTTTCTGCTAGTATTGTATGTCGATCTGTTTTCTCCACTTTTGGGGACCGATCTGAATATCTAAAAATCTCAGTATATGAATATCTAGTAATCTTTCTCCAAAACATCATTAGTTTTTTCCAAAAATGATAATTATGAAAATCAGACCGTACTATTCAAATCATGGTGCATTCTTTTGAGTGAGCATCTTTTTCCGAGGTAATAGAAGCCATGCTGTGAAAACAAACGGATAAAAAATTTTAAAAATTTGCAATAACCATTGTAGTATATTCAGCCTATCAGATATCAGACATAGGAAGATATCGTAGGCTTTTAATTTTCATCATAATAAATTAATTAGGCTTTAATGTGAAAAATAAGTTGATAAAATTTTGAAAATTATACGTTAAAAATCTGGGACGAACTAAGAGTAAAAATTATGCGAAGAATTAATTGAGACAAATTGAGAGAGACTCATTTGGAATGAACTGAGATGATACCGGATGAGAGAGATAAAAATAAAACATCTGAATATTTGAGATTAATTTTGTTTCTTAACATACGTGACAAATAAAGCATTGGTTTTTAATGAAATAATTATGCTTTGTACAACAAATATACGAACAAATAAAAAAACAATGAACAACACCATCTATAGAAAAAAAGTGTATGAGTGGGTAAGAACGTCGAGTACTTTGAAAAATTATGATCTAAGTTTTGTTTAAATTAACATGCTGAACAAAAATAGGCCGATTGCATTGAATAGAGTTTAGCAATTGGAGTTGACATTTGTTCATGCTCATCTCCATTCATCATAAATGTAACAGAATCATGCAATGAATCACGCATAATCATATGACCATTATCTTTCAAATTCATATTTTCAACTAAAAAATATATATGAAGAAAAGAAAAACAAAAATTATTATATTTTTTCTAATTAGATTAATAGACAAACCTGCATCAAGTTTATTATCATCATTTGATGATACAAATCCATTTGATATACTGTGTGAAAGTGATTCATCTGATGATCGATTTTCTTGAAATAAATAAAAAAAGAATATTAAAAGAAAAATTATATTCTAACATTATTTTTAAACATTTGTTTACTTACCGATATTCTCTCCCTCTTCATCTAAATCTTTTGCTTTTTTCTCATGACATTCACTAGTTTGCTGTTGACGTCGCTGCAATTTCTTCATCTATCAAATTAAAAACAAAAATAACAACGTATAGTGTCAGAATTTAAATTTATTAGTTATTCTTACTTTTGCTCTTTCATTTTGAAACCAAACTTGAACAACTCTAACACTTAAACCCGTTTCATTTGCCAAATTTTCTCGTACCTTGAATAGAAATTAATAATCACTAGAAATATTAATAAATTAAATAAATATGATAAAAATATATCTATACTTTTCTACATGGTTTTGAACTAATATCAAATGCTTGTTTAAATTTTCGTCTTTGAATAGATGTTAAAATTGTTCGAGGTCGTTTTGATCCACGTCTATTCTCAGATGAACATTCTTCTTCAAAACTATCATCTTCATCGCCTATATATTTTAAAACAAATAATAAAAATTTATTTTCGTATAAATAAATATTTATTTGAGACAATAATACTTACTTGCAATATAATGATGTGATGGTTGACTATTATTCATAAGTAACAAATTTTGTTCAAAATCTTGTCGACATAATAAATGTCCATCTCTATCAATAACATAGTGATCACCTTTATTTAATAAATCTTTACATTGAGAACATGAGAAACATTGTAAATGAAACATTTTTCCCATTGCTCTCATTATTATTTCGTCCGATTGTATTACTTGTTGACATCGATGACATCGAACACCATAAAGTCTAAAAATAATTATAATTGAAATCTCTAATTTATATTCAAAATTACAATGGTTAGCTAAACTTTTGATAATTTGTATGAAATGAGTAGAAACAGTTTATATTGTCCATTAGAAGATGAATTTACCAGCATAAAAGAATGAATAAACTCTAGAGGCTGTAGTAAATCGAAGGCAATCGAACAGGTAAGTATTCGAGAAATGTTTTTTGGTATTTGAATGCATCTGACGATGTATGTAGTATTCAAGACAATTTTTAATTATTTATTTTTGTATAGACTATCTTTTAATGATTATTAATGTGATACTTTTATGTAGAAGACAACTCGATCATGTATATGGTAAGAGAGTGATATGCTTGTTGGAGAAAGAGAAACTTTATTATTTTTGAAGAATAAATGGTATTTAAATAATACAGACACGCGGGAAAATAAAATGATGATTGAAACATGCACTAGTACATTGATGAAACTATATCAATATTCAAGCAGTTTGTCGGTATTTTTATCGATATATGTAACCATGTGTCAGTAATTAACTTGAAAGAATTACATCAGTATTCTCATACAGGCTCTCTGAAGAAACTTATTCGAGTATCTTGAATTCTTCTATACTCTCTTCTCGTGGTCTCTTTTCTGCGTGGTGGCACTCACTGTATTTACAAATCTTTGATTTTTGTATGCTTTCCTTTGTTACGAAGAATGTTCAAGTTTAGTATATCTTAATTCACTACGGATATTTGTTAAATATTTTCTCGTTACTATCCACACTATTTAGACTCAATTATTTGATATTAATCGGTAATATATTTAAATTAATTTATTTTATATTCTTTCTAATATTGGCTAACGTTCATCTATGAGTTCACTCTGTTCCATGACGTTTTATGTGCTGTTGTTGATAGGAAAAAAGAGGTTTTTCATTTGTGTTCGTTTGTTCTTTTTTTTCCTTCATTTGAGTGATGTAGAGACTGAGAAGGAAAATGATTGTAAATCTGTGAACCAATACAGCGTCTAAAATCTTTGATTATAATTTTGAAAAGTTCGAATATGTGTTACTATGAAAAACCCAGACAAACTATTTATTTCGTAAGATTCTAACTTTTGTCAAAGGAATAATAATGTCTGTTGTTGAAACTGTAATCTTACAAGTATGATAAGTCACAAAAAGTCAATCATATCACACACACAACAATAGTTTTGACAGTTACTTGAACTATCGAAAAACAAACATAATTCATTCATATTTTGTCTGTTGACATATGATTTGTCGCTACACCTTCAAACATTTCAAATAGAACAGAGAATGAAGTATAAGAGAAAGTTAAGACGTGATTATTCAAAAGGTAAGAAAAATGAGACTAGTAGTTTTTAGTGTAAGAACATAACTTTCAATATATAGTTCGTTTGTTTTATTAACACTTTTGATATTTTATATTATAATCGGTAGTTTTTTAGGTTGATAGTATTTTTTAACAGTATTATTATCGAAGTTGAAAACGAAATGTCAATGATACACCATTAAAATATAAATTGATAATGATTATGAACAATGTTTTGTACCATTTTTTATTCTGCTAAAAAATGATGGTTAATGTTTAAGCTAGATAACAAAATGTGTACTGTCTTTATTTTAACTCTCGTGGTTCTCTCTTTTGTTGAGTAATAGAAACTCGATAACTTTGTAATCAAACACTTGATAATGAAGAGGATAGGGAATAAAATGATAAACACCTGGTGCACTTGACACAAAAAATTTCAATAATAGACAATTAAAGACACCTCAAAGTCTTTTTACTGGGGTCTATTACCTACCGTAAAGATGATTATCTTTTGTATTTTTTTAGTAATGAATGTTTTCTTCTTCAGACAGTACATGGATACTTGTTTACTATTTGTCGTGTATGTATTATATTTAAACGATAAAGAAGTAACTATAATGTTCTATGACAAGAAAGATTTGAACTAACTTAACTATCTCTGCTAAAATTGTATATTCACAGACAAAAATCACTATTATCTCTATTTTGTTGAACCCTTTACTAAACTTGTATTTAACTTTTATGTATATTTTCAAGTGACTTATTTACATTCGAAATATATATATCCGATTATGATTGTACGTTTTTAAGTGTAGATTAAGTCTCATCAAACTTGTGTGTATACTGTTCCACCTTTCACTATTATTCTGTTTTATATTTACTTCTTTCTTTTCACTGGGAAAGACAGAGAACGATAGATGGGAGCACTTCTGATCGTCAATCATACTTTTCGAGTATCAACGCTTAGTAAATCAATTGTTCATGGAAAAAGAAAAAAGTTTCAAGTGTTCATATGCCGTTTTAAACAAATATATAAGAGAAAAACATGAATAATAATATACACACGCACACAATTGTGTCTTTTTTTTTTTACATATATACATTGAATATTTTATTACTTTCACGTTGTTGGTGATGATCAATTTTTTTTTTCTTCTCTAAATTCAGATCTTTTTCTTATTCTAAACACAATTTATTTGGTACTAGATGTCAATACAGGTTCACAAAAAGCTTTTTTAAATAGTAGCTGTCATATCTTTTGTTCTGCTACGAAACATCGTTATATATATTCGAAAGACATATTTTGTCAACCGATTTATGCTCGACAGATGAACAGAGGATCAGTTTTAGCTTCGTGGAAAGATTTGCCTATTGAAATCATTCCAGTCTCATGAAGTTCCCAAGGATAATCGCAATTTTTCATCCGTCCGTTTCTGATGCACACAAAGAATACTACTTAGTACAAAGGACTAGAGAGAAAATTTAGGAATTGTGTGAAAATTCATATCCTCTAATTACGTTTCCGCTTTGTTGTTCATCTATGCACAAGAAAAGATTGCCATTAGCATAATTACCTTCATCCTCAATTCATAGTTGTCCCTACTTCATTAAGCAGCTGAAAAACAGATATGTTTCAGGCAAAATTAATATTTTCAACAACAAAAAAAAAGTCAATAAAGATACAAGTAGGAAGTTGTTCAACGGAAACGCATCCTCCTCTCTTATTTTTTTTCCATAGTAACAATTTCCATAAAGAAGACAAGAGATATACGCATATCCGTCAAATGACAATTTGATACGCATGCAAGTTGTTCAAAAATTTCTACGAGATGAAACTGATGATCTGTTTAAAATGAGAATATTAAACAATATTGTGGTGGTAAAAGATATCTGCGTATGGTAAAATAAATGAAAGCTTAGCTATTGAATTATAAATTCATCAATAAAAAAAAGATAAAAAGTTTCTTTTTCCAGAATTCAACGAAAGATGGAATAATTTTAACTTTGTTCTATTCTTCCTTGCAGGAAAGGATTACTCTTAATATACGCGACAACGGTCTCTCTCTCTCTATTGTTTTGACCACGTACAACACTCAGTTTTCATCATTATTCGAATTTTTGTCAATATTTTGCTCTCTTTTTTCTCTATGTTATAATGCCGCCGCCAAGTTCTGACCAAACATATATCATTTTTAGTTTATTCTTGTTTTTATTGCGCAGTCATCGAAGAGGAAGAATATCTATCATTTTTTCATTGATATAGTTCTGTGAAAATAATACCGCTATAAAATCAATTAAAATATGCGGTAAGAAAAAAAATTTTTTTTCTTGAAAATTCAAGTATTCGATGATATAACATATAATAAGAGACAATATTGCCGCAAGATGAGTAGATACGAAAGTACAATAGATTGCAGATAGAATATTCTTCTTTAGTCTTCTCGTAGATTAGATATGTAAAGAAAATAAACTTACTGTAAATAATCTCTTTTACAATAAATCTTTGTATTTTTGTAATAACACGTACTAACAAGTTGTCGATGACATTCTGTACATACTAAACAATTTTCATGCCAATATGTTCCCATAACCGATAATAAATATTTATCTTCGATTGGTAAATTACAACCTCGACAAATACTTGTGTCCAATTGTGGCATTTCAAACCTAAAATAAAACAACAATGAATGTATTTTATTCATCAAAGAATAGTTAATAAGTCAATAAGAAATTCTTTGAAAAGAAAAGAGATTCTTCACTCGACTTTTCATCTAAATATCCCACAAAATACTGTAATTTCTCAGTTATTATGATTTTAATTCGTTCTTTTAAACCTTTTCCTCAAAAACGATGTATAGATAATTACAACTAAAATTTTTCTTACCAAAGATCATCATCGAGAATTAAAAAATCTAATAGAGATGACCGTTTTTCAATGTTGTTATGGGTCATTGATAAGCTAATAGTTCTTTCTTAAACTTGATTTTTTGACTTTTGTCGCACTTTTTCTGTTCTCTCTTCGTTCTTCGTACACATACTTATTCGTAGATCACTTATGTACTTTTGTTTCAGACGTGTACAATTCAATTCTTCTGAAGGATGAGGACTTGAAGTGGTAGGCTACAGATGTCAATAGACAAGAAACGCGACTAAGTCATCATGGAAAAATACTAATACTTTTTTTTTCTTCCTCTATAGGCAGCTGCTGCCTACCTACTAACAATCCTTGATTTTTGTGGTATGATCTCTCATTAAACAGAATCAAGATTTTTTCATAGGAGATACTTATCGTAATAAATTTAATGATTCTTCGTTGAAGATTTATGTCTACCATAGTGGTGCAAAAAAAATTCGTTTTAGATTCTAAATTCTCTCTTTAAAAAACTTTAATAAATATATAGTTAGAATTTTTTTATTAGACCTTCGTCTATACGCTAAACTTATTTGACAAATATTTTCACCTTAGAAGATTAACGCAATCTTTCGTATTTATGTAGAGCACTTGTCTAAAAAATTCTAATTTAATTTTAATTTATCAATCTTACCCGTTTGTATTTTAGTTATTGCTTTTGTTACCAATACACAACGCACACATACAACTTCTTTTTTTTTTTTTTACGTATAGCTAATGTCAAACAACATGATCAAATAGTAAAAAAAGACCCGTTTTTTTTTTTTTATCCTGAGATTCAAACAACAGAAAGGCAAATATTTGTTGTACATTCTACTACTACCTACTTAGCTCTATAGTCATTTCTGATTGGTCACAAAAAATAGAAGAAAACGATGAATTTTTATGAGCCACTAAATAAAATGTGCGCAATACAGAGAGAAGGAAGGAGAGAGAGAAAAGAAAAGATATTTTTTAACTGCTTTTTTATTCATTGGATAAGTATAATATAAATGCAAAGATTGAGTGTCTATAGTAAGTTCACTTTTTTAAGGATCTTATCGATTTTGAATAGTAATTTAATACAAGACATCTCTCTTTGGGTATTTAGTAATAGATAGATGCGAGCTGCCATAGATTACTGTATGACAATCTTAGATTTTTAACAGTAAGAAGATTAGAAATAAGATAAATTTTTGTAAGTTACTTGAGTTGAACACATTTGAGTGTCAAATTATTGAAAATTCTATTCAACTTATATAACTTCATAGTTAAAAATTGTGATTTGATAATTTCTCATTAAAAAGTTTTTATTTGAATTTAAATTAAAATTAGAATGCTTTCAATCAAAAAACTGTTTTCTTGTGATGAAAATGGATTTAATTGTTTTTAATTCTTGGTATCATGGACATGTTTTAGATTCTGAGTAAATCCGAATTTACATCATTTTCCAAATGATCTAAACTATTGTTTTTGAATGTAAAAAATGGAAAGATTTTCCATCGTTTTTTCGATCAAACAGATACATGTCTATACATAAGAGAGGTAGAATCCTAATGCTGCATCTGTGATAGTTAAGCTGATCCTTCAAAGTTTATCCAGTCTCATCATTATATGCTGTATCGCAAAAAATTCATCGTTCAAAAAGTCTTTGATGAAAACTGTTTCCTCATTTTCAAATTGACATCCACTTTTGAAGAAATTAATTTTTAATTAAAAACGATCTAGATCGCAAGTAAACTCAAATAAAAACTTTTCAGTGTTCATCACTTATGAAATTCATTTATTGAAAATTATTTTTTAAATAAGTTTAAAACTATTACTTTATTTACTGAAAACATATGATTAGGTTTTCATTTGTTATTAGGCCTATCAAACAAATATCTATTTTTCTGTTTATCTTTTTGCTGTTAGTGGATTCTTAATTAGATGTAGTGCTTGATTAGTCATGTGGTGTTATAGTATTAGATATTCTTAGATCACTTACAGAACGATCTTAGGAGAAGAGTATAGTAAACCCCAAATGAAAGCAAAAGAGAATTAGATAAATATAGCAAACTAATTCGCAATCAACTTACGTATCTTATTTGAAAATATATATTTATTATTCATCTATCTTATCCTAGATCAAATTACAATCTTGAATAAAATTTATAGTCCTACTGAGTAGTACAAATTACTGAACAATCGTTAACGGAATAAAATGAATTTAACTCGTAAAATAAGATGGTTACCATAAAAAGTGAAAGGCATCAAAAAATAAGATGAATACAAGGCAAAAAAAAAGCGTCTAAAAGTTGACACTTTTTAGTGGACAATTTTTTCGTCCCATTATGATATGCTTTTTTACTGGACGCTTTTTTGTGAACGAATTTTTTCTTATACTTTTAGTCACATGAACAAACAAAATTTGAAGAGATTTAAATAATATTTCACCCAGTTTTGATCACACTATACACTGGAAGCACGTCTGACTTGCTGGACACTATACACCACTATTGCAAGAAATCAGTTGTTTCTGAGATAAGCTAGTGCGGTGATACGATTCATTTATGCAGTATGTACTTAAATCCTATGCTTATCACTTATGTGGATGAATTTTTGTGGACTGTTGTTGTCGACACTTTTCTTACTATGCTTTTTTGTAGACGTTTTCTAGTCGGTGCTTTTTTTCTTGCCGTGTAGAATAATTGCGATCATTTTAAAGTATGCATTATCGCACAGGAGATGTAAAATAGCAGATTCTCCCGACAGAGAGGACACAATTGTCTACTAGTGTGCATCTATTTCTTGACAATTCAAACAACGTTCCTGATATTTTCTGAAAAGCACAGATGTCAGGTACAGTGTATATGATTAATCTCGACTGATTAGTGACTAAAAGAGCAATTTTGTATACATAGATAGTATCATGTTAGATTTGTGTATGTTTAATTAAACACTGACACTATTCAAGAAATTGTTTTAATAATTCTTGTCGAACTTCAAAATGTCGGATTAATTCGGTTATCTATATGAGTGATAGAGAAAAACAGGACGAATGTATTTTTTCTTTTTTTCTTCAATAAACAATATATTGATTAACTGTCATACATTGAAATCAGTGCAGGGTGAGTGAGAAGAATAAATACAGCATCATTTCGATTTATCAAACATTTTTTTGTTATCAAATGTTTACGTTATAACAACTCCGTTATGTAGACAATTTATATATTTAGCTCCTATTCTATTGTAAGAAAATAAATACAATAAAAAGATAGATATTCTTTTCTGGTAGCAACATATATCGCAATATTACAGCTTGAATTATTTTGATTTCATCTTCAAAAAAGAAAATACAGAAAATTTTTAAAAATTTTAATAAACTTCACAGAAAGTTTGTCTTAAATTTTCTATTGTAATAATTATACAATGCTTTCAAATAACAAAAGTTCAATTCTAATGCTTAAAGCTCTACTGCAACATGAGTTTTAGTCTTTAATAATCAAAATCAGCTATCAGATAGTAAATCTATAGAAACGTAGGAGAATCTAATAGATAAATGACATCGAAACTCATTAAAATATGTATATACTTTGTGTTAAATAATGTTTTCCATACTTACAGTTTAGATATAAATTTTCTCAGCTTAAGCAGACTATAGATGTTGATGATGGTATACTTCCTTAATAAGGCTTGATCTAAAATCGGCAGAACTATTTTCCTGGTATTCATTGACCGAATGAAAATCATAAAATTTACGTTCTATTGAGATGGTTTGATGGCAGGTTTTTTATTGTCATTGATTGTACTTTTCAAAATTGATCTTAAACCTATATATTCAGAATGCTCAGTAAGAAAATTGTGAACACGTACAAAAGACTTTTCTCATTCAAGACTTGGCTCATTCGTTAATGTACAGATTTTTCAATAGAATCTCTATATATTGTGATTTGATTCTCTTACATATTGTTGAATGAGAAAGAAAGATAAATGATATTTGGTTTGATGGAGCAGTCTTGACAGTTCTGCTTTTGAAATGAACAAAAACCTTGTCAGTTAAATAAACCCAACTTTCATTTCTGATTAGTTGACATGCGCTTAAAATTTCAGTACAATTGCCGTTTAGTCGACAGGCCTGCAAAAGTTTAGGTGTATAACAGATAGACTTAATTTGCGCGTATTAGCTAAGATCAACTTCATGTATTGTAATTCCCATCAAATTCTATGGTTCATAACTTTAGCTGAGCATGAAAAATATTCTAAATGGTGTAGAGAAAACACGAAGCATATCCTAGTAACAGTTAATTAAACAGTAATAGAATTTGGGAATATGTCTTAAAAGTTCATTCTGTTTCAACTATCTAGTAGATATGTTCTCGAATCTACTATATCTCATTCAATAGTGCATCATTACAGTGGCTGAAAAAGTACCTACAAAACGCGCATATATTACATTGTTTTCCCTCGTGTAAAAGGAGAAAAACTGTATTATTGCTAAGGAAAAACTTCATGATGAGAGAAAAGTGTTCTCTTTATAACTGCCAAATACTGATAATGAAGAGTATAAAAAATAAAACTATCTGAGATTAGTACAACAATCTGTATGAGAAAAAACTTAAATACACTTGCTATTAAAAATTAATTTCCTCGAGATGCATTGAGTATAACCAGCAAAATTTCTTGATCATGTTTATTGCTAAGCTGTTTACAGTATTAGAAGTGATCATAGATTCGATCGGATCAAGCCAATTTTTTGAAGTTTAACGGGCTGGGCTTAATCTTTCCTCTCAAGAGTGGTACTTACTAAACTTCGAGGATAGTAAAACAACACTTCACCTTTTCACTGACTATAGATGGCTGTCTTCGAGTATCTCTGGTAGGTATTATCGAAGTTAATCACTAGAATCTTCTTTTTTTCTAGAATTTATCTTTTCTAACGATTAGCGATTGTGAAAGTCTTCTGTGAAATTTTATGGACAGTTGAATCTGTCCGACGAAAGGATAGATTAAACAACTAAATGATAATACGAAGAAACCTACCTCAATAAACTGTCCTGTCTTTTAATATTTCCCCAGTTCTTAGAATAATTTACATTTGATAGGTTAACTCGCGCACGAGCTAAATGAAACAAACGGCCAAAAGTTGAATTCTTTTCGATTGTGTATTTCAAAGATCTTTCCTCTTTAGTTGAATTTTTATTTTTTTTGTTCGATTGATTATGATTAATTTCTAACACCTTTTACACATAACATATATAGTGGCAGTGAGACGTTCATTTCAAGAAATAAAAAATATATGTCGAATAGTCACTTGCTTGACAATTCGATAGATCATTTTTCTATAGGTATAAATTTATATTTATTTGTCACAAACACACACACACACGTACATTTCTTGTTTAAAGAATACAGGTGATGATGGGAGAATGAACAATATCATATCGACAATTGACTCTAATAATAACAGATCAAAGTATTTAGCGACATCCGCATAACATGTTTAGACCAATAATAATATAGACGTGATTTATAAACGTTTATAAGTATTAGAAGAGTAGAGTGAAATGACATAATTTAGAATTACTTGTATAAAATGATTAACATTGAATACACTAATTTCCGGTTTAAAATGTTTGATTCTTTCGTACTTTTTGTTAACGAAAATTGAAAAAATTATTCTAATGGCATTGTAATAAGCTGAAAAATTCTATTCTTTTTTTATTATAAGGTGCCGACAATGCGAATTTCGAGTGAAATTTTTTTTTTTGCTTTTTTTTTTACACCATTTGATAGAGTGTGATCACGAAAAACTACTTTTTAGCCTTAGCAAATACTTCCTTCCGGTCGAAAAATACGAAATACTGCGAAGATGTCATTTTTCG